CTGATCCTGTAACAAAAAGACTAAAGAAACACCATAGCTAATACAATCTTACCTGATTCCAGATTGAAACCTATATTAATCAGTTTTACTGTACTGGCTCTTAGGTGGGGCTCAACTAAACTTCCCTTGAGCAGCTGTATTTCAGTGTAAACCTAATACATACTCTTTCTCTGCTCTATATAACAATAACACTGTCATATCAGTTATGTCAGAAGCCTTTTCATCATATCATTTCATATATCAGTTTTTGCAGAACAGCAAGGAGCAATTTGAAGGCTATTCCATTACACCTTTATTTTCTGCCTCATTCTGTTGTATGCCCATTTTATGCAGAATTCCTCACACTGCTGGCAATAATGAGCAATGAGATGGGTACACAGGACAAAAGCCACTTTTTAGGGGCAGTTTAATACTGGGAAACCGCTACATTTTTGGGAGATTGATACCAGTCCTTGCCTCCTGGAAATCAGAAACAACAGCATCTGGAGGACCCTGTTAAGACTGCATCATTAATTTAAGGAATATTTGACTATTCACTGCATCATCAGCAGATTCAAATGCCTCATATCCAGCTCATAAGAAGGGAATTTATAAATTTATATATATATATATATATATAAATTTATATTATATATAAATTTATAAATCTTAACTCTTAATCCATGTTTTTAGAAACATTTTGCCATTTATAAGGAAATATTTTAACAGTTTATTAAGAGCTGGAATTTTATGTGCTTTTGTAGTACCATGGCTAAATGACATAAGCTGCCAAAATCTGTCATTTAACAGAGTATTGTTTATATTCTGAAATGCAGGTTAAAAATAGTATGTCAAGAACTGTGATCATAGTTTAATTACCTGGAGGATGCAAAGTTTCCAGTTATTTCAGTCCAGAATACAGTTCCAGAAGCATGCCTAGAAAACAGGAAATTTTCCTGGGAAAGATTCAGTCAGCAGTGGTTTTTTACTCTTCTGTATCAGCATAGCCAGCCTACAGATTTGTACAGGTCTTTCTTACAAACTCTGTGCTTCTGTTAATGTAAGATATATCTCTTCTGTGGTAATTTACCTGCATAGTACTATCTGCAAAGTCTTCTTTATGTAGACTCAGAATAGGGAGTTCCTTTTCTTCTTCTTCTTTTTCTCTTCCTAGTGTTCCCTTGGCATTTTTATGCCTAATGTGTTGTGAAATCTAATCAATTGCAATAATTAAAACATATTCTATGTGGAATGATGCATAACTTTAATTACTCAACAGTGTCTCAGACAAATAAAAGTTTTAGATTCTTACATTAGAAGAACCCAAACTACTGTATTTTGCTGTGATTTTTTTTCTACCAAGAACAGACTCATGCTTATAGATGAAATGGATAAAACACTAAAAATTCGAGGCTTGCTAGACTGGAATATAGTGCTATTTTTTTTTATTAAAGTAGCTGGCAGACTTCAGGCTTTTGTGTTACGAGGATATGAATGAATGGCTGGAACAAACAGATAGATGGTTGTTTTCAGTAAAACACCCTGGGTGGCAACTCTGAACAGGAAAGTTTTGTGTTCAAGACCTATAAAATGCTTGTAGTTTTAGCGATGTCACATTCACTGACTCACCTCTTTTCTAGAATCTTTTGTATGCTGGGGAACATTTAGGCATAAAGTAAATTCCTCATGACAGACCAAAATGCCAGTGTTTCCTAATTAAAATCAGTTCGATGACAATTGGGCAGATACGTTCTTACAGTTTTCTTTTTTTAATGAACAATGCATGTCAAGTAATTGGGTCTTGGTATTATACAGCTTTTGCCAATGCTGTTATTTACATTCTGATGCTAGCCCCAATGAGGCTTCATCAGCTTGACAGAAACTTCAAGCTCAACAATTCAGACCTCTGTCTTGTTCATTTGTTCTTTGAATTCTGAAAATGTAATTATGTTATTGAGTATTTTAGAGAATTTAGGCCTGCATTAGCTATTTCACAGTGATTTCAGTGAAGTGGATAAGCTAGTATAGCTTATTTAAGCTTGTAGTTTTATTCCAGTGAAATCTGATACAGGCACCTTTCAGAGTATGAAAGGCAGTTATTGTTCTCTTGTAGTGTTTCCTTTTGTCTGTCGTAACTACAGGACACCACAAATTTCAGTAATTAGCCCTGCCCAAGTATGCACTGTTATTGCCCTCATTCTTTACTAAGATTGGCTTCTTTTGCTGATGTGGGTAGCAGAAATTTTAAAGGGAAATATAAGGATAGATTAGCCTAAGGATGCTTTTTAAATGGGCTCTATGAAGAATGTGATGTACAAGATGATGCCAAATACAGACCCACACACCATGACCAATTCCATGTACTTAAAGAGCTGAATTTTCCTTAGTAACCCATAGACAAAACAAGTTTACTGATATTTTTCTAAAAGCTACAGTGGGGCGGCCTTTCCATCTCTGTAGCCACTGTCACCACTGTAACCAGTTCCTCTGCATACAACCCTCACACTTGCGTTCTGCTTAGCTGCATTTCAGTCTTCTTGAGTGTTCCAGCAATTCTGTCAGACTTAGTGTGTTCTTGGAATATCACCAAGTGAATTTGACAGTACCATTTCTGCGAAATGAGAGTAAATGTTTTTATGAACGAGCTTAAACTGAGCTTTAAAGTAAGGAAAGGGGTCAACAAAACCTCTGCCTTGAACTTCCAGAGGGCAGAATTTGGCCTCTTCAGAACACTGGTTCAGAGAGTTCAGAAACATTCTTAATAACAATAGGGTCCAGGAAGGCTGGACATACTTTTAGAAGGAAATCTTCAAGGCATAGGAGCAAGCCCTCCCTATGTACCAAAAGACAAGCTGGCAGGGAAGAAGACCACCCTGGCTGAACAGGAAGGGTCAGAAGGATGATCCAGGGAACTGCAGGCCTGTGAGCCTGACCTCAGTGCCAGGAAGGTTATGGAGCAGATTATCTTGAGTGTGATCGTATGGCACGTACAGGACAACCAGGGGATCAGGCTGAACCAGTAGAAGTTTAGGAAAGGCAGGTCCTGCTTGACCAACCTGATCTCCTTTTATGACCAGGTGACCGCCTAGTAGATGAGAGAAAAGCTGTGGATGTTGTCTAGCTGGACTTCAGTAAAGCCTTCAATACTGTCTCGCACAGCATTCTCTTGGAGAAGCTGGCAGCCCATGGCTTGGACAGATGTACTCTTTGCTGGGTTAAGAACTGGCTGGATATCCAGGCCTGGCAAGTGGTGGTAAACAGTGCTACATCCAGCTGGTATCCAGTCACTAGTGGGATTTCCCAAGGCTCAGTACTGGGGCCAATCCTGTTTAATATCTTCATCAATAAGGATGAAGGACGTAGTATTGAGTGCTCCCTGAGTAAGTTTGCAGTCTACACTATGTTGAATGGGAGTGTTGATCTGCTGAAGGGTAGAAAGGCTCTGCAGAGGGATCTGGACAGGCTGGATTGATGGGCTGAAGCCAACTATATGAGGTTCAACAAGGCCAAGTGCCAGGTCCTGCACTTTGGCCAGAATCCCATGTAGAGCTACAGGCTTGAGGAAGAGTGGCTGGAAAGTAGCCAAGTGGAAAAGAACATGGGAGTGCTGCTCATCAGCCAGCTAAGCACAAGCCAGCAGTGTGCCCAGGTGGTCAAAAGGCCAATGGTACCCTGACTTAGATCAGAAATAGTGTGTCCAGAAGGACGAGGGCAATGACCGTCCCCTTGTACTCAGCACTGGTGAGGCCACATCTCAAGTGCTGTGTCCTATTCTGGGCTTTTCACTGCAAGAAAGATGTTGAGGTGCTGGAGCATGTCCAGAGAGGGGCAACAGGGCTGATGAAGGTCTGAAGCACAAGTTCTATGAGGAGTGGCAGAGGGAGCTGGAGTTGTTCAACCTGGAGCGAAGGAGACTCAGGGGAGACCTCATCACCCTCTACAATTACCTAAAAGGAGGTTGCAGCAAGGTGGGGGGTGGCCTCTTTTCCCAGGCAGCCAGGGACAGGACAAGAGAAAATGGCCTAAAACTGTGCCAGGGGAGGTTCAGGTTGGACATCAGGAAGAATTTCTTCAATGAAAGAAGAAATTGTCAGGCATTTGAACAGGCTGCCTAGGGAATCATCGTCCCTTAATGTGTTCAAGAAATGACTGGCATGGCAGTTAGTGCTATGGTTTAGTTGGCATGGTGGTGTTTGGTCAAAGGTGGGACTTGATCTTGGTGATATTTTCTGACCTTAATGTTTCTATGATTCTATGAAAATAAGTAACAAACTATATCAGAAAACCTATATCCTTAGACAAATCAAAACTTCATTTTTAGGAAGCATTTGTATACTTACACATTTTAATAATTATTAGAAACTAAATTCTCCTTTATATATCTCCTTTCTTTTTAACATCTTGCTCTCAACCTAATTCAGGGCCAATGCCTTCAATTCTTGTAGCATCTGAAATTTTTTTAGATGTCACAAATAGGTGGGACTAGTCTCCCGAACAATGATCTCATTTATTCTTCTTAACTTTGACTTTGAGCTCATAAATTTATGCTTGTCTAGTAAAGTGTGCACTATGTAGTACTAAATTAACAGCTTTATACACAGTCATTCCCAACCAAGTCTCTGCACTGTGTAAAGTTTTACATAATTACAATTAATGCAGGAAATTAATAATGTTCAGCACATTAGCAGGAACTATATATTCACTTGGTAACTTGTAATAATAAATAACACCTCCTACTGTAATTTTAAATTGGTAAGACCAGTCATGGCTTGCTTTCTGAAGTGAATTGATTTACTGCAGGCAGTAAAGCAATCAGGTTTTGACCATGTTTAAGATGATTCTAATGTTTTCTCTCTGTGCAAAATTCAAAACAATAAAAAAAAAATAATAAATATAGCAGCCAAAGCAGCTTTCACCATTCTGTGTTTATTTGATACATGTACATTTGAAAGGATTTAAGCAAGCCCTGACAGGTACATTTCTATCAGTCTAACCAAAATATTGTTTATTTTGTTTTACAGATTTTGGCCATTGTATCCATTCTGTTCATCGTACTGTCCACTATTGCTTTGTCTCTTAACACACTGCCAGAGCTGCAAGAAATAGATGAATTTGGGCAGCCAAATGACAACCCTCAGCTAGCACACGTTGAAGCTGTGTGTATCGCTTGGTTTACCATGGAGTACCTTTTGCGTTTTCTGTCTTCACCAAATAAGTGGAAGTTCTTCAAAGGCCCATTAAATGTCATTGACTTACTGGCTATCTTGCCATACTATGTCACCATTTTCCTCACAGAGTCCAATAAAAGTGTCCTGCAGTTCCAAAACGTCAGACGTGTGGTTCAGATATTTCGTATTATGAGGATCCTAAGGATTCTTAAGCTTGCCAGACATTCAACAGGCCTTCAGTCTTTAGGTTTTACACTCAGGCGGAGTTACAATGAATTGGGCTTGTTGATACTATTTTTAGCCATGGGAATAATGATATTTTCAAGTCTTGTATTCTTTGCCGAAAAGGATGAGGATGCTACAAAATTTACAAGTATCCCTGCATCATTCTGGTGGGCAACAATCACTATGACTACTGTAGGATATGGTGACATTTATCCTAAGACCTTATTAGGTAAAATAGTTGGAGGACTTTGCTGCATCGCTGGAGTGCTGGTCATAGCTCTGCCCATACCAATTATTGTGAACAATTTCTCAGAGTTTTATAAGGAGCAGAAAAGACAGGAGAAGGCAATTAAGAGGAGAGAAGCACTTGAGCGAGCTAAAAGAAATGGCAGTATTGTCTCCATGAATCTTAAAGATGCCTTTGCTCGCAGTATGGAAATGATAGATGTAGCAGTAGATTCAGGTAAGCTTGGAGAAGCAGTGAATCCAAAGGAGACATCTGATGACAACCACCTGTCCCCAAGCCGGTGGAAATGGGCCAGAAGGACAATGTCTGAAACAAGTTCAAACAAGTCTTATGAGAATAAGTACCAAGAAGTTAGTCAACAAGACTCTCATGAGCAATTAAACAATGCTGCAGCATCCTCCAGCCCTCAGCACCTCAGTGCCCAAAAACTGGAGATGCTGTATAATGAAATTACTAAAACTCAGTCTCAGCCTAATCTTAATGCTGGTTACCAAGACCAGTCAGCAAAGCCACCCGTGTACGAAGAAGAAATAGAAATGGAAGAAGTTTCAGGTCAGAGAGATCCGTTACCAGCTGGACCTACGGACATCGTAACGGACATGAGAAGCACATCCAGTATCGACAGTTTTGCCAGTTGTGCAACTGACTTCACAGAAACAGAGAGGTCTCCCCTCTCTCTGTTTCCTGGCTCTCACCTGCAAATGAGATTTGCAACTGATGCTGTTAACCTGGAAGAAAACCAAAGAGCAAGAGGTTCTCAGTTTATACCATTTGCAAAAGACAGAGGATTTTCTCCAACCGACATCACCTTTGACTATAATCCAATCAACAGAGCTGTTATCAGTGATGGCAGTGGGTCCCAAACTGTTTTACATGGTCATTTGCATTTTGACTCTTCCATGGAAAGCCCCAAAAGTTCCCTGAAAGGTAGCAACCCATTAAAATCTAGATCCCTTAAAGTTAACTTTAAAGATAATAGAGGTGGTGCTCCACAAACTCCACCGAGCACCGCAAGGCCACTGCCAGTGACAGCAGGAGCAGACTTCACACAAGCCACCCCCCAGCACATCAGCACCATTCTCCTAGAAGAAAATTCCCCACAAAGTGAACGACCTGTACTTGGTGCTGATGCATCTGCACTTTGTCAGGGACCAGTTAAAAGATCATCCCCTCTCTTTCCTAAGCATAAGATTTTCACTTTCCCTTCAAAAGAGAGAAGGAGCTTCACTGAAATAGACACTGCAGAAGAAGAAGAGTTTATGGAGTTACATGGTATGAAACACGAAAAACAAAAGGATATCAAGACAAATTGCTGTGGGGATAAACGGAGTGATGGCAACAATTTAACAGAGGAGCCACAAGTCAGCTCTTCACCCAAAAGCATGAGCCACAATTGTACTCAGGACATTTACCATGCTGTGGGTGAGGTAAAGCCAGACAGTAACCAAGAAGGTCACAAAATGGAAAACCATTTATTTGCCCCAGAAATTCATTCAAGTCCAGGAGAAACTGGTTATTGTCCCACACGTGAAACTAGCATGTGACTAGTTACAGAAGCAATAAAAATACCTTTTCTTAAAACACTATTAGTAATGCCTATGAACTAAAACATGGAAAGCCTCAACAAAAGTGCATAAAATGTTATTTTTGCATGGCATGAAGAGTTGTTTAGTTTAAATACTGTTTAATTAAAAAAAAAAAAAAAAGACTGCTTTTTGTAACAAACTGAAAAAAAAAAACCAGGGAAAAAATGACTCAAGAACGGTGAATAAAATAAAGAGAGCTCTGTTAGGAGCCAGTGTTCTGCTACATCTGACATTTTTGATCCTTTCACTTATGATTGTAGACAGGTTTTGAACTCTTTTACCTTTTTTTCCTTGGTTACATGAATTTTAGAATTTGCACATGAAAGGATGAAATGTCAATGCATGCATTCATAAAGATGTGAAACAAGGTGCTTTGAGCTTGCAAAATGCATATATTTGTAAATAGTTGGGGGTTGGGGGGACAGCTACGGTTAACAAGGATTTATGGAAAAAGCATTTCCTGGGACATAGGTACTTCCTTCACAGCGTGCTGCCTGGAGGTTTTGTACAGACTTATGTTGCAAAATTGCAACTTCTACTTAAAGCATCTCACATATCTTGCTTTCTGTTAAAAAGCTCATGAGTATATCTGTTAATTAATAACTACAGTATTTTAGTTTTTCTGTGCTGTAAATCATGATAGTTTTTTTATTTGCATAACTTCAGTTATTGCATTTGTCAGTTTAATTAATGATCCTGTGAGGAAAAGCAAAGATTTAATGACCAGAACTTGAAGTATTTGATATTTTTATAGAAAACTGCCAACATTTCATAACTGAAGAAAAAGTTCCATTTTAAAATTTAAACACCATAGTTATTTCTGTGGCAATAAATAGTGCCAAATGGCTATATAGATACGTACAAAAGTTTTCAATCTCTTGGAATATAATTTGGTATTAAAAAATATTTTCCACATGCCCATTTTTTCCTTTGACTTAACACTTTTTGCTTCTACGTGATCTTTGAGATCTGTTTCCTTTTGTTTTACATGCTCATACTTCAGTAATGGCAATGTTGTTGAAGCCACTGTGGTATAAGGACATAAGAGACAAGGTTTGTAGGGGGAAGTAGTACCTTTTGCTATCATGAATCCTATAGCTGGAGAAAAACAGGTTTCAAGTATATGTGATTTGCCCCAGGACTTCCATACCCCAAAGCCTGTCTGTGTTTTTGAGTTCAGTCATTTGGAGTGACAGAAGATATCACTTGACTCACCAACTTTGCCTCAACCCATTTTTCCATGGTTGTTCCAAATTGGAGTATAGACTTTCTATTAAATAAAGGGAAACATCAAACACTCCATGGAAAACTGCCAAAGCATCTTTGGTTTCTCTGACTTTTCCAGCTTTGTAAAAGAAAGATGCTGAACCAAAGCCTTCATTACAAAGTACCCATCTAACCGCTGTCTGAAAAAAAGCTATTTTTTATTTTATTCAGCATCCTTGCTTCCTATTGATGCCTCAGAACACTATGATATAGTATAAAAAAAAAGCTTATAGATTGCTTTAATTTCAAAAATCGTAAAAAGCTTATTCAGTTCATGAATTCTAATCATAAGTAAATGTATGCAGTTACACAGGCACATCCTGCAAAATATTTCTCTTTTTTTTTTTTTTTTTATTAGGAAATTTTAAAAGCAATTTAGACCAACCAGTGCATGGTTTGGAACATCAGGCTTCTACTTACCATAGTGGATCTAGGTTAATTTTTACTCATCTATCATTTTCTGTCAAATAAGTAACAACGAGGCATCAAATGTATTTAATGTAAAGGAGCCATCATTTTTCTTGCAACATTGCCCTCTGCTTGAAATGGCTGGGCTGATGCCACAGACCTCACTCAAGCCTGTCCCATGGAAAAGAAGCAAGTTTGAAGAGCCCCAAAATAAGGATCCTGGTGACTGGGCCTAACAATGAGCAGAGTACTATCATTTGGTTGAAAAAAAAAAAAAAAAAGTTTTCTATATTTCCGTAAGTTTTCTAATGTCTGTAAAAAGATAATATTGAAGTGTCTCTTCATTCATTTGAATAACTGGGAATATAATGGGGTTTTTTTCAAACAATGTCTGGTCATTAATTCTCAAAATAATTTTTTTTTCTTTAGTTGCAGTTCATTGCAACTTGTTGCTGCAATCAGTTGTGTGTATTTATATGGTATTCTGTGTAACATTTTTTAATCATGTTGTGTCTCACTGTCCCAAAATTTAGCTCTTGATATTTTATAGTCATTATTCTATCTTTATTTTTTAGTTCCTGGATATTTCGGTGACTGAAACCAAATGCCAGTCAATTTTTATATGCCTGAAGTGTTGGTTTGTATTTTCTATGTGCAGTTTTATGAAATCACATGGGCCTGTTCGATCTGCCTTTTCATCCTAGTGAACTATTGAAGTCCAAATTAAGACCAAATGGGACCTGGTTCCATGCCCTGGATCCACAGAAAATTCTCTTTCAAGACAATGATGGTGTTCTGACCAGATTGAGGTCTGTATGCTTCTTCTCCTAGGTGAACCTTACACTTTGGAAAAGCCCCCTCGGACCTGTGCCACTTGATGGAAAGGGAGGAGTCCAGCCATAGGGATCATATTGCAGGAACAGATTTGATTCCTTAAGCTCTTCTCAGTTAAACTTTATGCAAAGCTTATTCTGCCCTATTAAAGTCATTACAAATTCAAAAGTGGTAAAATTAAGGCCTCAGTCCTTGTGCAGATGAATTTCCCCTCAAACCAGTGGGAGTCTGGTGGAAAAAGGGACTGACTGAAATATAAACGAGGATGGCAAGACTCTCTCCCTCTTGATGAAAATCAACAGGAGCTTTAACTATATAAATCAGATGAAAGAGCAGGCCCTTATTGGCCACTGTATTTTAAATGTTTTCAGAGAAGCACATTTATTTTGAAAGCAAAAGAAATGCAATTCACTTTATAAGCAGATGATGTATTTTCTTTTTTTTAAATCTTGGAAGCAAAATGATTGAGATTTAGAAGTACTTTTGGTATAATTTCATTATATCCTTTTGACTATGCTGAATACTATTTCCAGAAGCACAGGTTTAGACATGTGGTTTTTCCAGTCTTGACTGCATATACAGGATCCCACTTCTGGATACCTAGCTCGTGCATAATTCCTAATTAAAACATCTACTTGAACAGTTGCAGGACTGGATCTAGATTTCAGTCCAGTACGGCAGGTGTAAGAAGTGCAATCCAGGAACATTTCTTTCATCGTGAATTGATATGCAGCAAATTATGTAAAATTACACAAGTATATTTTTCTGGTTTTCTAAAACTTTGAAGCCATTTCAGACTTATTACCCATTCACCACAGTAAGGGGAGAATGTGTTGGAGCTCTGGAGTCAGTCTCCAATCGCAGCCGTGCGATTTCAAAACAACTTAAGGAGTCTTAGGAAGAAGTGACTTCTCTGTGCACCTGAAAGGGGTCTGACTCCTCGTATCACTGGAAAATGAAGAATGTTCAGGGAGATAGCTTTGCAATTAATCTATTTTTTATATTTTTTTATGAACTGCAGAGTCCTGAATCAAAGTTTTAATTCCTTTTCAATGATGAAACCAAATGCACATATTTAAAAGATGTTCACAGAGTAATTAGAACAGTTTTTGAATAATAGTCACATTAATTCAAATCTGGGTGGGATGGGGGCAATAATATATCGCACAAACTGCAAAGGAAGTTCCTACAGGAAAGCTGTTTACAGGGGAAGCGTACAATGTTATGTAAAGAATGTAACAGGGTGTAGGAATTTTTGCACTACAGAATTTATATGAAATACACTTTTTTAAATGAATACACAAAAGGCCTTTTAATGCTACATTGTATAGAACATAGGAGCCTCTGTGCTAATGCAGCAATCTGATGCACTGTGTCCTCACTTCAAAATTGGTCTCAAAATTCAAACATTATTCATTTTAGAGAGGTGATATCTGATCTAATACTAGAGCAACTGACTTGAAGAGCTGTTTAGCACACTGTTTCATAACCCAAAGTCTCTACAGACAGTTGTATTTTTACCTATAACATTCATAAATCAAATTGACAATTGGATTCTGGAGTCATTTCCCAACAGGTAATACCTGGCAACATATTTATATTCCTTGGAAAACAAGTTCTTTTAAAGGAGACCTCTTCCCCTACGTGTTGACTGAGCTTCTGTTTCCTTCAAGGTTTACCTTCAAATTATTTAATTAACTTCTTCAACTTCATCTCTAAACCACAGTCCAGTACAAAATCGCTTGTCTTTTTGAAGCCCTATTGCAAATACATTCAGATTGGTAAAAATATCCAGGGCTTGTCTGACTGGCTTTTTCAGTGAAACAGCTTTTGAATCACTTGGATAGAAAATAAATCTTAATATTTTGATCATGCAAAAATATTTTAAAAGCAAAAAAATGCAATATGCCTTTTTTTTTCAAAGTAGCCAGCACAGATTGAGCAAGAAATGCAAACACAGCAAAGGGGGAAGAAGGGAAGAAAACTGTAAGTAAACAAGGCATGTTTTAGTAAACTGTGTAAAAAAAGGGATATAATAAATCATACATACAATAGTCCTTGTTCACACTTAATGAGGAAGAACGTCAGTAGCAAAAGATCGAATTCCAGTCCAACTCCATCTTAATTTTTTTACTAGAACGACAGGTCTCTACTACAGTGATGCTATTACCCACTCACCTGCCACATGAATATCTGTTCTGTAATAATTTTTCAGACTTTCCTGAAAAAGAAGATACTATGTATTGCTATCTTTGTTGATCTTTGGATCTCTTCCTATTGCCATCCAAACACTTCTTCTTGGGAGCAGTCAGAAGGCAATGCGCCCAATAAGATGATAGGTGTGTCTTGTCGGGAAAGTGTTTTGGTAGTCTGGTGCAAATAAGATGAACTCTGTTGCATTTGAACCAAGGAAGAAGAGCTGAGTGTCACTTCTTCCTGTTATTGTTCCAGCCATACCATCTTACAGCTTCATGTTTTCTAGTTTTAAAGTGCTCTGAATCCTCCAGTGTCCGCCACAGTGTCCCCATGCTCCATGCAAGATGTGTCAGTGTTCTTGGAAGAACTTTTGTGAAAGCAACTGACAGGTAAATGCTATTAAGACAGCCATTGGTCTAAGTGTGAATATTTGTCTCTTGTCCAGGCTGTTTTTATTTCTTAGCAGTAGTCAGTTTAAACTCCAGCTGAAATGCTTTCTAAAACAGATCAGGTGTTCTGGGAGCCAAACCCTTTGCAGGTCCTCTATCACTTTCCTTTCCACAGAAAGGTTAGGTGACTGGCTGGCAAAAATGAGAGACAAAATTGTTTGCATCATTGTGATGTCTTCTTGTTCAGTGATCATACACCACAGGACATCTGCAGGCAAGGTAGTGTACTTGTCTTTGTATTTATTTTGTGGCAGCTTTAAGTAATATTTTTTGAAAATGTTGTGTTATGATATTTAGGAAGTATTACCTGTTAGTACAATGGAGATTTCTTCCAAAACAGCAGTAATACCTTACAGTCCCACACTATTATTGATTACTATTTAATTTTTTTTTTTATGAAACCTAACACAGATCCAGATGAATGCCATTGTGGAACAAGGAAGTAGCAGACAAATATTAGTGCTCTTTTTACTTAAAAGCAGCTAAAGAACATGGTATTAGCTAACATTTAATCCAAAAGAAGATAAGATTATCCTAATTAAACCCACCAGCAAAACAGAAGGGTGACCTATCATTACCTTAGACATGGACTGTAGCCCTGTGATTAATATAAAAGCTGAATTTAAGAGCAGTCTGTGTAATTTATTTCATTAGGGTAATTTTTACACTCAGATAAGTTTAAATCCATATTCAAAATCAGCAGGGGTAATGTACACTTCTAAACCTGGAATTCTATGGCTATGTTTACACTGGTATCTTAGTGGAAATCAGGAGAGCTCTCCTGGCATTAATCTCTCAGCTATCCCTGCTTTTCATGCCTTGATTCACATCACAGAGCAATCCTAGACCATGTAAACTGGATTACTTTTAGATGAAGCTGAAGCAGGAAACTTCTTCCATGAGGGCACCTGCTGTGTTGCAACCAGGATGAAGCATTCAGGCCCTGGCACCAGATGAGAGCTAGACCAAAACTGTACCCCAATACATGTAGTATAAATTGTCAGCACAAAGTGTTGTCTTCAGCAAATCTGCTTATATTGTACTACTTGCTAATGTAGACGTAGACTATCTCACCCATGGTTACTATCTGCAGTCCATGTAGTCTTGGCTAAATCCCTTACTCAAGCAGATTTTCTCATTGTCTCCAGTAGTATTGCATACAAAGAGCAATATACAGCCAAAGGTGAAATTGTCCCCAGTGTGTTCCCCAGCTTAGCCCAGCTGGAATCATTTAAACATTAAGGTCTTGATAACCTTTGGATAGTTGCAGTTTGTAGTTTGGACCAAACTCTTACATACTGCATAGTTCTACAGTCAATTGAGTCTAAAGTTGGTGTTACATTTGATGAAGACAGTACAGACAGCACTAGACTGACTTACTCCAGAATCTGTGGAATGATTAAATTGACTGCAAGTAGCCCTATTTCACTTAACAGTAACTCTTTCTTTACATGGCATGAATAAAAGCAAATGGCCGTGCAGTGATGGAGGATCAGAAGCCCAGCTTGAGTATTTTGTGCCTATCTACCATGTCTAGATATCTTTCCCTTTGGATCACGGTTGCAATTTATTTAAATTGAGGAATTAGTAGGGGTTTGATTGTGTGCTGAGTTGCTCTGATGTCTAGGACATACCCTGTAAAAGGTAATGCACGAAACAAAAAGCCTATTCCTTATCTTACTGTTTTTAATGATTTCAAAGTGAAGGACATAAGTTTTGTAGTGATATTTTTGCTCTAAGTTTTGCTCAGATAGCATCTCTCAGCAGAGGTTCAGAATACAAAACACTTATGCCTGTTCTTGAAGTCCTTAAGCAGAACGCCAGTGGGAATTCTGCCTGTATAAAACTGAAGGATGGAGCAATATATTATAGCATTAGGCAAAAGGAACAGTTTCTAACATGTTACAAAATGAAAAAAAAACACAAAACACAAATACTTTTGGGGACAATCATGGGTACTTCTGCTAGGATGCAGAGTTCTGGATTTATACCTCTAAATTTTCAGAGTTCTGAAGAGTTTTACCTATATAACTCTTTCAAAAGTCAAAGGAGCCATGCTGATAAGATGAAACATGGAGGGATTAGTGTACAAAGAATCTGAACATTGAATACATAGCCTATTGCTTTAAGATCACTGTAAATATCAACTAAAAATGTGTACTAATTCATGTTTATACGTTATTACTGTGTTAGTTTCATAGATACGGTAGCATGACTATTATCAGTTTTATTGAGTTTAATGGACTTTACTTTGTATTCCTCTGTGAATGCTCTGAATGCTGCAAACAAAAAAAAGCACAACAGTATTTTTTCAAGTTCTCTTGGGGCGATAGTAGTGTCTTCACTATTGTTCAGTTTTACAGATTTAGCAACATTTCATCATAAATTGCTATGTTAATAACATATCTTTCTTTAAAAGTACTGTCACTAGGAGATAAAAGCATATGTGATAAGTCTTGTCTAATCTCATTCATCTGCCTTTACAAAATGCCCCAGACATTTTGTGGGAGAATATGCTGCTTTTGCTTCATGCGTTGTTTGTATTTGGGGGTGGGGCAGGGGAATAATAGGGCATTTTGCAATGGTAATTGCATCAAACATGCTTTTTTCATTATTATTATTGTATTTGTTAGAAACATTTTGATTTAGTTTCTTTCTGTAGATAAAACTTTGGCAATAGCTTTATTTTTTCAACTAACCGTTTGATTTCACTAGACTAATAACTTCTCACATTTAGTGATATTCATATCAGTGTCTCCATATCAGCTGCATTTTAACTTCATAAGAAAGGAAGTGTGATTATTATTTTTGTCATAATAGATTTTGCTGATCAACTAAATATTTCTGCACCAATCTACATATTAATATGCATGTTGTAGTCTGTACAATTGTTCAACATCAAAATATCTGTTTAATTTATGTCAAATGTCTGTAAAATAAATGCATTGTTCTCCATTTCAGTCTGATAGAACAAGCAGGATAGTAAATAAATGTGTAAATGAATCATCTGTGTCTCATTTCAGTTCTCGTCATGAAATCACTTTACATTGAACATTGCATATATACCAAAACAATAACCCATAGTGTCTTCAGATTTCATTACTTAACAATATTATGAAAGGATCTCTGGCAGACAATATGTACAGAAATAAATCACTTGGCTATGCAAATAAAGTCAGATTCCATTTAAAAAAAAATGAAATGCAATGCTTCTAAGCCTTTTTTTCCTCTCTGTTCAGAATTACTGGTAATTATTACTTGCACTGTCGTAGATACAAAACCTCAAATGACTTTACAAGGAAGACTAAACATTATTTGCAGGATGGAAAGCAGAAGCAAGAAAATATTTAGTAGTCCTTTTTTGGCCAGTTAAACCTAGGTACCTCAGCCTAACATTCAGACATAGAAGATAAATAAATAAGGAAACAACCTAGCTTGGATCCCATCACCTTCTTGCCTAAAGTGGACTGATTTTTAAATAGGCCAAAAACTGTAAGAGAAAATTTAAGTTGTAGTGGCAGTTATTTTACTCCTTTGAGTAAGGGAAAAAAAATTTTTTTTTTTTTTTACAGGCTAAGTTTTGCATCAAATCCACCTATAACAGAGCAACTCTACCATTCAGAAAATAAGGAGTATGATTCCCTCACCTTCAAATTAGAAAGCTGTTTTTTAAGTTTCTACATCTGAAGAGCATTACAGTGAAATCAAAATGGAAGTCTAAACTCAACCCTTTGGTGACCATGCTGATAACAATTTTTATGCGAGAGCACAGAGACACACTTTAGTTTCACAACCTCACTGTGCTGTACATCTCTTAATACACCATTCACTGCATGGCAGAGCTTCTTCCCTTTCTGCTTTTAATCTAAGGGTTCTCTCTATGAATATGCAGCACTGAACATAAATCTAAATATGTTCTATCTTCCTATTCTACCTCAAACACATTCCCAACCTCTTCTTTCCTTAAAAACAAAACCCACATCCTTCCTAGTGCTTCTTCCTGTGTCGTCTTCTTGGCACTGATCCAAATAATTGCATTCTAAGGAAAGTATTAGGGGGGTTATATATTATTCAATAACCAAGCAGCCTGCAGCCCACATATCTAATGATGGTACCCAAAAGTATTTGCAAAACTGCAGTTCTATATTCCAGCTGCCACGTGGTTCTATCCTTCAGCAAACCTGGGCCTTATATACATCCCCTAACCCTCCAGATTTTAACT